TTAATACAGTATCTCAAGAATTGGGGGGGGGGGGGAAGTATCCAATGTATTCCCTAATATGAAACCAATATATAGCCAGGACAGTGGCTCACACCTGTAATCCGTGCACTCTGGGAGGCCCAGGCAGGTGGATTACTTGAGCTCAGGAATTCCAAACCAGCCTGATCAAGAGTGAGACCCTGTCTCTACTAAAAATAGAGAAACTAGCTGGGTGTTGTGGTGGGCGCCTGTAGTCCCAGCTACTCAAGAGGCTAAGGCAAGAGGATTGCTTGAGCCCAAGAGTTTAAGGCTACTGTGAGCTAGGATGCCATGGCATCCTTCCTGTCTACCCAGGAAGACAAAGTAAGACTCTGTCTCAAAAAGAAAGGAAAGAAGGAAAGCAAGCAATATATAAACAACAAGCCCACACAAAAGAAAAAACACAAGTATAATCCAGTGAGAAAGAGGAGAGAAGGAAGAGGGGAGGGGAGAAGAGAGGGCAACTGGTGGGATCTCACCCAACGTGCGCAATGTGAGGGTGTTCAGCATGCCTTCAGGCAAAGGGCTCAACTACAACTTGAACTTTACCTCAGAAATGGAAACAATGTCACCTAAAACATTTGTACCCTCATATTAATCTGAAATTTTAAAAAAATCCCTAAGATAGTGAAATGGAAGCCCTAAGAAGACTAAACTCGGGTCTGCCTTACAGGCCATAGAACTGTTCTGCATTTGCCCAATGCCCAGCATTAGCCCAGTTTAAGAATCATCATCATGAAATATCAATAATGCCAACTAGTAGATCATCAATGCTAAATGGGAGATTGTATGAATCTTAAGGAAACTGGATGAATGAGAAAGAGTCTGAGTAAGATTCAGATGGGTGGGCAGCACTGTCTAAACACGGTGGGGGTGGGGGACAGACCCAGATAACAGGCATTTTGTGGCAGGGAGGAGAGTCTAGCTGAAGCACGAATAGTGAGAGGAATTTCCTAATACGCAGTGATATAAACAATCTGGGGTTTCAGACTCAGTACAGTGGTCTCAGGAAAAGTGTTTTAGTACATTCCTCACTGTATTGAAAAAATAGCAGAGGAAGGACAGTGGTCAAGTTAAGAGACATTTTTAATTAGAAGTTAAGTTTTTGGTGTCAGGAAGGTTTTAGCTATCAAAGACTATTCTCATAAAAGATTTAAACAACTACATCTTCACCTGAATCTGGGACCAACCCAGGGTGCCAAGATGCCCAGGGAAACAAGATGAGTCACTGCCTAAGGAATGTGGGAGTGGGGAGGCAAAGGTTTAATGTTGAACATAAATGTGAAAGCTGGAGACATCTGTGTATTCAGGGCTGAAATCAAAGCTGGGGCCTACATCCAGATCAAGCAAATATTTCTACCACCTAGAGTCAGTGAAATGCAGTACATGGTGGTTCTGACCTGTTTTCTTCTTCAGAAAGGCACTGGTCTAACCAAACCTATTTATCTAGACCAGGAATCCTCAAACTAAGGCCTGTGGGCCACATGCAGCCTGCCTAGGACATTTATCCAGCCCACTGGGTGTTTCTGCCACTGCTGCCTGTCCTGCTTAGCAGCCGACTAGTCCCGGGGCCCACAGTCCGGCCCTCAATGGTCTAAGGGACAGTGAACTGGCACCCTATTTAGAAAGTTTGAGGACCCCTGATCTAGACTTTATAAATACCTCTTACTAACTCAATTACCAAACTACAGTGGAGGTAATTCTCCCTGCGCTCACACCCCCAACGTGCACTCCTTATGTGCTCCTACATGTCCAAAGAGCAGGCCGGCCAGGGAGCCGCTCTATACATTAATTTCACATTTCACAAAAGAGCCCTCAGCACAAATCTCTACTTGATCAAATATACAGATGTTTTGAGAAGGGTCAAGAAAGAAGAAAAGAAATTGATAAAATATGAAATATATCTGAGAATTTTCTTCAAAACTAAAAGCAGTAGATTAGAGTCACCTGTCAGTCACTTCCAGACTGCCATTTTACCTCCAGAGATCTGCATACCTAACCTTTTCCAAAATAAATACACTAGACTTCAGACCACATAATCAAGCATAAAACAAGGGACCCCCAGAGAGCTCACAGACCTCAGCAGCCCCCTCCCAAGGCTCCCATTCCTGCATCTGTAAACTGGGTGGCAATCAGCCCTCATCTCTGACTTCGCAGAGGTCATCAGAAAGAGCTAAAAATAAAAGTAGTTTAAAATGCAAATCTACATCAGCCAAAACTCAGATTCCTAGATCTCTCCTAAGGACTTGGACACTGACATACACAGTTGAGCGAGTAACAAACCACAAAAGTGGCCCAGTGAGGTCTAGCTCCAGGCCACACAAAGCAGGTCCATACATTTAAAAGGCATTCAGTATAGTCGCAACTTCATGCATTGGAAACAGGCCTCAGGATGTTAACAGATGGCACCACTACCTGGCCTTTCCCCTCTCCCCAAACCTCTACACCCTATTAAAAAGAAAAGTATATATATTGGCTTCCTTTAGAAAGAATGCCAAATAAGATAATGAACAGAAGGTGTGGAAACAGTATTTGCTGTTAACTACCTTCATGTAAGTCACATTTCCTATGGTACATCTGCAGAAACATCTGGATGTCTGTCTTAAAAAGGAAACCCTAAATTCTGCCGAATCAGTACTCTGTGCTTCCTCACAAAATTAAAGTAACATATGATGAAAGCCTTAAAAATTAGCTCTGTCGGCTTGGCGCCCATAGCACAGTGGTTATGGTGCCAGCCACATGCACCAAGGCTGGCAGGTTCAAGCCCAGCCTGGGCCAGCTAAACAACAATGACAACCACAACAAGAAAATAGCTCAGCTTTTTGGCAGGTGCGGTAGTCCCAGCTACTTGGGAGGCTGAGGCAAGAGAATCGCTTATGCCCAAGAGTTTGAGGTTGCTGTGAGCTGTGACGGCGCAGCACTCTACTGAGGGCAACACAGTGAAACTCTGTCTCAAAAAAACAAACAAAAAAAATTAGCTCTGTTGTCATGGTATGAAGTGGATTTGAATTTTATATGACACATTTGCAATTTTTATATTCTTATAACTTTTGGAATTTGGTTTTTCAAATAAAAGATTCTAATAAAATTTATTTTAAAGTCTAATCTAAGACTAAATTAACTTACTGAAACTTCCCATTATAAAACTAACAAAAGGCCACAAGGTGGGAACTGTGTTAGGGGAAATATATATGTAACCAGCCATTGTTCCCTAGCTTGCTTTCAAATAATTGCCTACCACTTGGGAGTCGCATAGCTTGATGGTCATAAAGATTCCCAGCTTTCTTTATTACTCCCATAGATATATCACTCTTGTGAAACCTAAGGCTAGTTTTTGAGCTACCTTCCAGGCCCTGAATTCTGGTGGAACAACTGACCCAGCAAGACTAGTGAAGAAACTGACTCAACTGGTATTGTGACCCCCTCACCCAGGAACTGACTCACAATGCCTACACCACTAAGGTTCTGCCCCAAACCCAGCCAATCAGCAGATCCAATTGCCTAACCCTTTCCTGCCAAACTATCTTTAAAAAGACTTTCTCCCAAATTCTTGGGGAGATGAATTTGAGAAATTCCTCCCACCTCCTTGCATGATGCTTGTGTTATTAAACTGTTTCTCTGCTTTAACCCCAGCATAGCAGTGCACTGGCTTCTCTCGAGCAGCAGGCAATGAACCTGGTTAGGCTGTGACATCATTAGTCTACCCTGAATATTATACACAGATTTTTAATTTTATAATTTTTTTTTTTTTTTTTGCAGTTTGACCAGGGCCAGGTTTGAACCCTTCACCCTCAGTATATGGGGCCAGTGCCCTACCCACTGAGCCACAGGTGCTGTCGTGGATTTTTAATTTTAGCAGTAAATCCTCATATAGCACTAATGTCATCAAAAACAAAACAAAACAAAAACAAAAACAAGAGGGTGCAAATTTACACAATACACAACTAAATAAAACTTTATTTATAAAGAAAATTTTAAAAAGACACAAAAATGATAGCCGTCTGTTAGGGAAGAGATTGTCTCCCCTCTTCTCTTTTCCCTAGCCCCTAAAATGTTGGTTATGCTATATTTACACACACATATATAATATTTTACAAATACTATTTTACATAAAGAAAAAATGTTATAAAAACAAAAATTAAGAATGACCTTTAGATTCCCTGCATATGTCCTAAAGCCTTGTCTACTATTAAATTATTCTGAAAATCGAGGTATTATATCTCTAGTTTGCTAGGCACAATGTGGGTGCAATCTTTTTAACTTCTCACTGCCAACTCTGCATCATGCAAATGCAAAACCATAGGCTACTCTACAGGTCAGCATTCAGAGCTTTTAAAGACTAAGCACCTTTGTATTTTATAACCTCACTGAGAAGACTAAGAATGAAATGTCATACCAATTTTTGTTTACTCTTTTTCATGCTTTAAACAATAAAGGCATTTTTTTTTTTTTTAGTTAAAAAAGAATTGACCCTGAGCAACAACTGCCTCTCCCAGAAGTTGAAACCTTTCTGTCCTATGCGTAACAGTCTAGGAAATGCTCAGAAAATGGAAGAAAAATAAAACCTGACAGAATAGGAGCAAGCACAGCTGTCTTTACTTCCACTGATCAAAACCCACCTCCTCACCACAGCACAGCCTGGGAGGAAAGTGGCTCAGTATCCACACCAAGTGGATGAGGGGAGTAGGTCCCAGTTCAGGAGGAAGTCAGCAATCAACAACTGTCCCCTTGTCCAGGCCTTTCTGATCAGTGACCTGCTGTAATGGCACAGGAGCTGTTTCTGTGTTCCGGAATACCACTTTATAAAATACCGCAAAGTACTGGCACACATTAACTCATTCTCAGCCAAGACATACAAACTTGCTGATTGTTTAGGCTTCTGCCACTTGCTAGTTGATCATCAGCCCAGGAGAAGACACTGAAGCTGAACACATTAATTCCACAGCACATAACCCAACCATCGACAGACACGAGGTACTTACTGCCACAAACAGCATGCAGTACATGGAGAACGAAGAGTGGCCTGAGTAGAAGGACAACCTAGAAGAGAAAGGAGAGAAATGTCAATTTTCTCTCTGGAGGCTGAGAACATTCTTGATTTCATAAACTGCCTCCTAGCTTCCGGGTGAACACAGCTCCCTCCCTCCACATCTTTAGAAATTAGAAGAGTGGAGCTAGGGAGACAATTAGGACATCAACATTGAACAGCCCAAGAAGGCTGTGAGGTCAGATTTCCAGACAGTATCATTTTGCTGAAACCTTCAGGATGGAAGAACCATGAGAACAAATTTGCCAAGCATTTCTGTAGATGTTAGAAGAGTAACACTTGATAAGCCATAACTGGCATAAATGACCTTGACTTGACTACACATAAATTTATATGACCAAGATTAAAGATGTATTTTCCACTTGCAGAGTTAGGCCATGAATAATGCAATCCCTCCTTTGGAACATGCAGAAGCTGATTACTTTTTCCATTCCATATTAATATTTTAATGTTTTAAAAGGGCTCACTTCTTGCCTCACACTTCCCACCAGATTCAGTGCTTTGGTTTGTTATTCATTTTAAAATTGTTCACTGACAGTAAGTACTGCACTAGATGAATTACCTCTCTCAGTGTTATATTCTATAAATATCAGAATAGCATCTCTCCATCTAAAAAATGACAATGCGCACAAAACTTAATTTTATAGCACATCTGTAAAAGAAAAAGAAGGCTCACTAACATTCAAGATCTAAGTTCTGCTTATGTAGAATTAGCCACTGATGCAGAAAAAGCAAGTACATTAGGCATGGGGAAAGCATGCCATAGGTAAGAATGAAAACAGGAGGGACAGATCTCAACTGCTTTACTTACTACACTCTGCCTTATTCAAAAAGAATTTAAGGGAGATATTGGTTTCTTGGATTCAGAGACAAGACTCCCAAAACTCATACCAGAAAGTCATGTGTGTATGCTGGAAACTGATTACTTAAGTATATACTGATAATGTATCTACCAAGAATTTTGATTATCTTTTTTATAATCAGATACATTCTTAAGAAAAAGAATCTTCTCACTTCCAATGCCAACCATGAATTATGTAATTAAACCTGATAATTTTCTGGGTTTAATCTATGTAAACAAGAAAAATAAATCACATTTTAGCTTTATTATCTAAATCCACAGAGAATGGATCAATATAAATCCTAATTTTGTAGAAAAAGGATTTTGTTCTATTGCCCACTCTGGAATGCAATGGACCAATTATAGTTCACCAAAGCCTCAAACTTCTGGGTTCAAGCAATCTTCCTGCCTCAGACTCTCAAGTAGCTGGGACTACAGGTACATGCCACAATGCCTGACTAATTTTTTTAGTAAAGATGGGAGTTTGCTATTTTGCCCAGCTAGTCATAAACTCTGGGGCTCAAGTGTTCCTCTCACCCCAGCCTCCCAAAGTGCTAGGATTGCAGGTGTGAGCCACCATGCCCAACCCAAAATTCTTATTTTAAATTCAATAATTAGAGCAGAGTTCTGTATGTTTTATGATTAGTTTCAACAAGTTTTACTGAAGAGCCTAGAAGTTAATGAGAGCCAATCTGAAGGACTACCAAAGTCTACTGAGTCAACGCAACCATGATCACAGAAATATTCTCAAAGCCATGCAAGTTTTCTTAAATCCTGTATATGGTGCCACAAAATCATAAATTACAAAGGTAATAGTTTTAAACAGATATGAATTAGCCACAGGGTGATTGTATTAGTTGAAAACAAAATTATTTCAGTTTTTTTTATTATGAATACAGAAATACATTGTGTATAGAATCAGCAAAGAAGTCCGGCTAAAACTTCAAAAAGGGATTTAAAAAAAAAGAGATAGGCTGGACGCAGTGGTTCACGCCTATAATCCTAGCACCCTGGGAGGCCGAGGTGGGTGGATTGCCTGAACTCACAGGTTCAAGACCAGCCTGAGCCAGGGTGAGACCTCATCTCTAAAAGTAGCTGGGCGTTGTGACGGGTGCCTGTAGTCCCAGCTACTCTGGAGACTGAGGCAAGAGGATCACTTGAGCCCAAGGGCTTGAGGTTGCTGCAAGATATGGATGCCATAGCACTCTACCAAGGGTGACAAAGTGAGACTGTCTCAAAAAGCAAATCAACAACAACAAAAAACCCCAAAAAGATAATTATATTCAATCTCAGTTTATAAATCTTTATCCATAGTAATTTATTAAGCAAATCATAGTGATATTGACTTTTATTTTCTATTAAAAAGAAAATGATCAGAATAAAGCATGAAACATATAAATTCAAATTATTCATATTCTATATAAATCTAACCCTTTATTGAGGTCTGTATGAGACATACCCCCTGAAAGGATCTTATTATACCCATAATTTAGAAACAAACTAAATATTTGTATGAGTAGTTTAAGAAAATCCAAGGAGCAGTCAAAATGTAGTTTTCATCACAGTGACCTCAACTGAAATGTTTAAGTTTTGGCCTTGGCCTAAGAACCTTCCCCTTAGATTTTAACCAAACCTAGACTACCACCTCACTTCATTATAGCCTCTCTGATGAAGAGAGATATAGTACAGTAATAAAGCTTTCCATCAAATCTTAAGAAAATCTTCTCCGAAAGAAAATTTGCAGTGATAAAAATGTATTTTGAAATGCTACTGCTTTCACCAACCCTGGACTATTGGTCTATTAAGCAACTAGCTTCACCTAGCAATAGACTTGTTTTGACCATGTAACTCACCGTGAATGGGATTCTATTCCAAATGACAAATTGATGATGTTTTATTTTCCTTACATTTGTTAGCTGAGAACCTCCTTCTCCTGGGAGAGCTGAATAAACTCAGCTTGAACCCCGTATCACAGCCTTCAGAGTTCAAGACCAGCCTGGCCCAAACAGCAAGACCCTGTCTCTACATAAAACATTTTTAAAAATCCACCATCACTCTGGGAGCCCGAAGTGGGTGGATCACTTGAGCTCAAGAGTTCAAGACCAGCCTGAGCCACAGTAAGACCCTGTCTCTAAAATAAGCTGGGTGTTGTGGCGAGCTCCTACAGTTCCAGCTACTTGGGAGGCTGAGGGAAGAGGATCACTCAAGTCCAAGAGTTTGAGGTTGTTGTGAGCTATGACATCATGGCACTCTACCAAAGGTGACAAAGTGAGACTTTAAGAAAAAAAAATCAGCCACATGTGGTAGCACTTACCTGTATAGTCCTAGCTACTCTGGAGCCTGAACCCCATCTCATACCCTTCAGAGTATTCATCTCCCCATCTCCCTGCCCCTGTGTCATCCAACTCTGCATTCTAACATCCACATCCACGTTGGGCCCTATAAATTGCAAAGAAGATCAAATCCAGCCTTTATCAGTCAAACAATCAACTTATAAAGCATTTTTTAATTTGCTTTTTGGGGGCTCATCTGCTCTTTCTCCACCATCCAACTTTCCTCTTCTCCCCACTCTCCAAGGTTACAAAACAGTTACACTACTAAGCTATAAGGAAAAACTTTGAGACAGGTCTCCTGCAGGCTGAAGTGCAGTGATGTGATCATAGCTCACTGTACCTCTCTATACCTCCAACTCCTGGGCTGAAATGATCCTCCTGCCTCAGCCTTCCAAAGTGCTGAGATTATAGGTCTGAGCCACCAGACCCTGCCAGGTCTTCTTTTAGTTCGGAAATATCTTATTTTGTGTTCGTTCTTGAATGATAGTTTTTTTTTAAGTACAGAATTTTAGGTTGACAATTTTTTTTCTCATCACTTTGAGGCTAACATCACATTATCTTCTGGCTTCTACTTTTCTGTTAAAAAGCCATCTGCCATTCCCCAGGGGGTTAACTGTCTTGCTTACTCCTTCCACCCTCATCAATATTCTGAAGTTTTACTATCATGTATCTAGTAGGGATTTCTTTTTATTTATCTGGTTTAATAGTCACTGGCTTCCTATATGTGAGGATTTATATACTCTATTCTTACCGTGAGTAGCTTTTTCCTGTAGATATTCATTTATATTAGAATGTGAGCTCAGGCCTTTCCAACTCTATTTGCGGGGACTCTCACAGGCCTTGGCTTAAAGCAAAGATTTGTGTTCACCTTTGCTAGGTTCGCTCCCAGTCCACTTTAAATTTCAGGACTCTTTTTTAGCCAAGTAATATAAATTCTGGCTGCAGACCAATGTGAGTGTGATCTTATGGTTACAAATTCTTTTTAATCACTTCCACTGCGAGGATGCTACCCTTTGGAAGTCCCTGTATTATCCATTTGTCTCCTACGCATCTTCCTACTCTCCTGCAGCCCTGATCTCTCCCATGCCCCATACTCACTACTGAGGCTCTAGGCTACCAGGAATTGGTAGATACTTTCAGGGATCACACTGGATCAATAATACCATCTGACCGTGGCCTCAGAAAAATTCCTTTACTCTCCCACGAGCTGAACTGTTTATTAGAAACATGTGTATGTGTTTTAAGATTTATCTACATTTTAAGGTAAAATACACACAAATGTGTGTGTAATATATTATTTAGCACATTTATTTAAACTACATCAGCAGGCATTTCTAATCCTCCATACTGCCAGAAACAGAAGCAGGCTTTATTAAATTTAATAGGACTGACAACTAATGCACTGCTATCTAAAGTCAGTCACTTTACTAGGACACAATAGTTTAGCAAGGGCCATTTGCTTTTAATTATATAGTGACCAATGCTCAAAATGCTTCCAATTATTACTACACAACCACCAAAGTTGGCTCTGCTGCAAGTTAGGTGAACTTCTTTTTTCTCCTAATAATCATCCTAAAATTGATTCCTGAAGCAATCTAAGGCAGGAAGGCTGCCAGCCTTTCTGACAAGCTACTGAGTAGGTTCAAGTACTTGATACACAGTGTTCCCACTCCTCACAAAAACTCCAATGTGCTCACATAAGTTTGCTTACTTGCTCCAAAGTCACACCACTTTGAGACTCAAATCTGAGTCTTCCCAACTCTCTCCAAATGTGCCATGATTTCACCCCTGTGAATGACAGATAAACCCAGGAGGAACT